CAGGAAGAGACCCCTTGAAAAGTCCCCTGCACAGGGAGAAGCTGAGAGGAAAGAACATGACCTGTTGGAACAGCTCTGAGAAGTTCTGGCGCAGCAATGGTGGGCGTGTAACTAGTGTTGGAAATTCTGTGCTGCCGTAATGGCCCATTGTGAGCGTGCCGTACCAGATCATGGAGTGCTGGCATGGAAGAAATGAAGTGCAGGGGCCTTGTCAGCCAGCTCTGGGCTGCATCCTCAGGGCAGCGGGCCCCCAGAGGGCTTGCCCAGGCAGGTTTGCATTTTGGAAAGAGCACTGGCTTCAGTGTGGAAAATGGATTTAAGAAGAGGAAAATGTGCAGGGAGACCAGTAAATAAGGAGTTTGTTAGGTCTTCTTCAAAAGGACAGTGGTGGCCCTGACCAAGATGGTGATGGTGGGGAGTAGGCAATATGGGCAGGTCTGAGAGACATCTAGGAGGGAGAGGTCAGAGTGGTTGCTGGACACAGGATGTGTGAGGAAAGAAACGTCCTCGGTTTCTTTCTAGTTTAGGCACCTTGGTGGAGGTGGTCCTACTTCCTGAGACCAGGAACACATAGAGAGAGATGATTTGGCTGGGGGTGGGGGTTTGCTCTGAGGTGTGAGGTGCCTGAGGAGCAGTGAACACTCCCATTAGGGCCTGTGTTTGTAGAAATAGGGGCTGGTGAATTAGGCTACAGAAGCCCCCACGTGGTGCTTGGGCCCCTGGGCGTGGATGACATTCCAGAGAGAGAGCCACAGAGAGGGCAGCCTAGTGCAGAGCTCACAGGAACAGTGGCATGTAAGGGATAGGAGAATCAGGGAGCCCGGCAAGGAGCAGCCATAGAGGCCAGAGGCCAAGGAAGCGTTTCAGAGGAAGAAGACACCTGGCCTCCGAAGCTGCTCTGCCGGCCGGCCTCAAAAGGTTTGTTAGTGGTGCAAAGGTAATCGGTGACCTGGAAGAAGCCGCTGTATTCCCTTGTCCTGGAGTTCCAGTGCTGGTGATTTCAAATCCGGGCTTTGTCACTGACTGGCCGGGTGACCTCAGGCCTCCCTGGGCCTCAGATGATCCCTCTGGGAATGTGTTTTTTTATAGCTGTTGTCAAAGTTAGATTAGTATGTGCAAAGCCCTTAGCAGAGTAGACCTTTAATAAATTTGCTACAGCTGCCCTTGTTACCGTTTGAATGTCACTGTCGTCACTACACCCATGTAGTTGTTAAAGATCACAGCCCACATTCATGTATGTTCTTACTGAAGTAAAAGCCGATTTCAGTTCAGCACTCTCCCGTGTACTTACATCACTTCCTTTGCCATAGTCCTGGCAAAGCCACGTTTGTCATCACGGTGGTGGTGCTTCCCATCCCATTAGTCTGTGAGCTCCTTGAAGATGAGAACCATGTCCTGTCGGCTCGGGACGCCGTCTGCGTGGACTGTGGGTCTGCGGGAGAATGCACTCCTCACAGCTAGAAAGCCCGCCAGCAACTTCAGGTGCAAGCTCCTCGCCTTGGAGGAGATGGCAGGGCCACCTGGCAGGGGCACTCCTGGGAAGGGGCTAAGCCGCCTGGGATGCTGGCCGCACTGAGCTGGTCTCCAGGCCCTGCTTTCGCTCCTGCTCGTGTTTTCACCGGACAGAGCTGTCTCAGGTCCTCTGAGGTGCGCCCAGAGGAACATTTGTATCCCTGGAGCGTGTGGGCCCACAGCGTTCTGCTTGGGAAGCCTGGCTCTACTTCCACTGGGCGTCCAAGCCCACAGGGCTCACCTCAGCCCCGGGAGATGGAATTTTTAACCTTTTAAAGCATTTTCAAAGATGATTTTTCTATGGAAGAGTATTAAAAAAGAAAGAAAAGAAAAAGAACCCACCACATTCGTCCTGAACGGTTTGGCAGCATGTGCACTGTAACCTTTTCAATTTGTGTTTTCTCTTTCATTGAATAAAAACTTCAGTGCCACCAGCTCGGGAGTGCTGCAAGTTCACATTATGTAAATATATGTACTAAAATATTTACTCAGGGTTTCCATGAGGAAAGGGCCAAAGCAGAGAAGGGGAGCGCTTTCCTTTGCTGGTCGTAGAGCTCTCCCGGGAATTTTGAGGGAAATAGAAGCCTCTCAGATGTGTTTGGCTTGGCCCGCTTCATGTTTTATCTCCTGTAATGAGCTCGTTGTCAGTTTGTCAATTCTGACTAAGGGCAGAAAGTTCACCCGTAGTAACAACACAGAGACTGAATTTTAAACGATGGTTCAGATCATGATGTAACGATCCCTCTCCTTTCCTTCAGTCAATATTTACCTGATCGGCCAACATATTCTAATTCTGACTTCAAAAGAAGGCACTTTATTTTACCTTCTCAAGTGTTAGTTTTAGATACTTGTAATATCAAAACTGCAAGTTGAGCCGTCTGAGACCTTTGGCCGCAGTCCCTTGGGGTTGGGTTTCTTGATCATCACAGGGCAGGTTTCGTAGCTCCCAGCAACCCAACAGCACAGCTGCGGCACTGACCCAGGGCGGTGGGACTCGGAGCCCCACAGCTTCTCCACACCACCCTTCCCGCTGTGGGAATCAGGTCCAGCTGTCATCCCACCACAGCTGGCGCCTCTTCGAGGGACCTAGGTTTTCCCTAATGGATGCATGTTGCAGGACTGGGCAGGCAAACTCGAAGGTCTGAAAGCCTGCTAGGAGGGTGGTCTCTGGGTGTGGGACTAATGGGGAGTCGGAAATTCTGCTCCTTGCCTGAACTTCTTACTTTAAGCCCCCAGTGTGGGATCATTTTTTTTCTTTTAAAAACTGAGGGAAGAAAGCTCCCCCAGTGAACAAGGACTGAAAGGATGAGAAGGCACTGCTGAATTTGCAGCTATGTTGTAACACCTTAGGACTGGTTGTCCAGGCGGCCAGAGGAGCCAGTGGTGCTGTGTTGATGAGCTCTTCAGAGCCAACACGAAGACCCGGCCAGTGATTCGTAACCCAAAGGGAATCAACTGTCTTATGAACCACAAAGTTCACAGATAGACTTCCTTCAGGTTCAGCTGGATCCCAGAGGTCACACGAGGTCAGCCTGATGCTCCGTTTCTCAGACCCATGTGCTTCTATGTTGGCACAGTTATGTGGCAAGGATGTGTCCTGACAGCTCCAGTGGCTTTGTGTCTGAGATCCCAGAAGAAAGATCCTCTTTCCTGAAATCCTCATCAGCCCCTGAAATCAGCACAGAGGAAATCTGCAAGAGTCACATGGCAGCCTGGGCCAATCACTGTGCGTCTGATGAAGATACAGAGAAATTGCATCGAGCACCTTTTACATTGAAACAAACTCACCTCTGTGCCTGTGCCTTCAGTGTGCTTCTGTCTGCCCAAGCAGTGCCCTTCGCACTGTATACCTTTCTTGCATGCGTACTCTTTTTTTTTATATATATTCTGTCCACTTTGTGCATTTCATTTTCAGGCAGACTTCAGAGATATTGCAGGTTTTGTTCCAGACCACCGCAATAAAGTGAATATCACACTGAAGTGAGTCACATGAGTGTTTTGGTTTCCCAGTGCTTATGAAAGTTACGTTTACACTGTGCTGTAGTCTCAGGAACTCTCGTGGTGCAGTGCCTAAGGCATTTGACTGCTAACCAGAAGGCTGGCAGTTCAAACCCACCAGCCACTCCTTGGAAGGAAGATTGGGCGATCAGTCTACTTCCATAGAGGTACCACCTCGGAAACCCAAGGAGGAATTGCTATGAGTCGAATCAGCTCTATGGCAGTGGGTTTGTTTGTCTTCATACTGTAGTCTTACAAGTTGGAAGTCCTGTGAGAATGACCAAGATAAGACACAGAGACACGAAGTGAGCACCTGCTGTTGGGAAGCTGGTGCCAGTAGACTTGCTTGACACAGGGTTACCACAGACCTTCAGTTTGTGGAAACATGCAGAGTCTGTCGGGAGGGAGGCTGCCAATGAAAGTGGAAGCCAGTGATGTTGGGCTATACGACTGGGCAGTGCTGAGAGCTCTGCAGGGGAGACCGTGGCCACACCGCTGGACACAGATGCGGGCTCCACCAGTGTGCAGGGCAGCCAGTCTCTTTTTGCTTTGCGAGTCTGTTAGTTGACCCTTGTGTGATGAGGGGGATTGTCAAGGCAGATCCTGCCGAGGAGATTATTCCAAACGTTGGGAAAAGCGTGAGCCTTGCAAGACTCTGAAAAGGAGCCCTGGTGGTGATTAAGTACTCTGCTGCTAACCGAAAGGTCAGCAGTTCAAACCCACCAGCTGCTCTGTGGGGAAAAGATGAGGCAGTCAGCTTCCGAAAAGATTGCAGTCTTAGAAACCTTCCAGGATGGTTCCGCTCTGTCCTCTAGGGGTGCTGTGAGTTGAGACCAACTCAATGGCAACAAGTTAGCTTCTTTTTTTTTTCCTGTTCTTAAGCAGAGCTCTGAATGGGATGAGCTAAGATATGTTCAGGGAATAGAAAGAGGATTCCCATGACAGCTGCATAAAGGGCATGTAGAGGATGGGCCGCAAGATCAACAAAGTAGATTGAGGTGAGATCCTGCAAGGACATGAGCAACAGGCTTGGGGGTGACGTCATCGGATCCCTGCTTAGAAAGGTCACTAGGACAGAGAGGGGGGCTGGGTAAGGGACAGAGAGGAAGCAGGGAGGCCAGGTGTGGAGCTGAGCAAGAGCCGTGGGGCTGAGTGCGAGATTTGGGGATTACGCAGCGTCACGGCCCGAAAGGATTTGTTCTTCATCCCACATGAGCCAGACCTCCTTTTGCGAGTCTGTTAATGGCATTTCCTCAAAGGGACAAACCTTTCCAAGTGGGAGACATCTTGTGAAAATGGTTCATCTTGTTTCTTCAGCATAAAACTGTCTTAATCTTTGGGTGTACCATAGGGAAGGGACTGTAGTGCTCATCACGACAGACTGAAGCTACAGGCTTGCTTACCCCTCAGTCCGCACCCTCTGGGAGGGTCCTCTGGAGGTCTTGCCCTTGTGCTCCATGCAGGCTGACAACCCTTCTCTGCACCCCCAGGCAACTTTGAAGTGGGCGTCCACATCGCTGACGTGAGTTACTTCGTTCCCGAGGGATCGGATCTGGACAGAGTCGCTACTGAGAGAGCCACCAGCGTCTACCTGGTGCAGAAGGTAAACGCCACTCTCTGTTTCTCGGATTGAAAATTGTGTTTCTGTTTAAGTCTTCTTCCTTTTTTTGTCATATTTCATTTTGTTTTCCCTTTTCTAAAAAAAAAAACGAGCAAAAATGATCTTGTCTAAACATCCTTTCTCACTGCTAATGAGGTAAAAATATGAGAATATTCTATTTAAAAAAAGAAGATTTTTCCCCAGAAACATGGTTGCCCTGTTACTGCATTTGTTCCTGTTAGGCCCCTGTGTACTCAAGTAGAACCAAACTGCAGAAGCCCAGAGGGAGACCCAGCGTTCATCTCTCCCCTCAGACTGGCCCTGCCACACCAGTAACCCAACACGTGGGCAGAAGTGGGCAGCACCAGAGCAAAATGAGGACAAACACCTGCTTTTACCCTCGTGAGCCAAAACAGGGGTCGGCAAAATGCAGCCCAGCCGCCCCTGGTTGCTGTGAGGTCAGGCTGGCGTAGCCCCGTCCGTTTCTGTCTTATCTACGGCTGCTTTGGTACCCCAGCAGCAGAGTGGACGGGCTGCCGCAGAGATCATCATGTGGCCACAAAGCCTGAAATACTTACTATCTGGCACTTTAAGAAAAAGTTTGCAGCCCTCATTCTAAGGGGTGAGGAACTAATCTGGACCTGACCTGCCCATTATAAGATAATCGCCAGCCTCCTGGGGATGGAAAAGCAGAGGAACTGTTACTGTCCTCTTGTCATCCTTGTCCCCGTAAGTCACTGGGGCGTAGGCCTCTTGAGGCTCGTTTGTGAAGTAAAGGGTCTGGACACAGTCCTCTCTCCATGTTCCTTCCAGTCCGCATCCCTGTGCCTGGCACATCTATACAGGTAGCCATCAGCATCCATCACTTTAACAAGCGTTTGTTGACCGCCCAAGTTTATTGCTGGCCCCTGCCTGCAGCCCTTGGATTCCTCTGGGTTTCTTTCTCCTCCTCTGATACTTGGTTCATCTGCTTGTCTTAACTCTCTGGCTGGACTCACAGTGACCCCTCCTTGGGTTTCTGAGGCAATATTTCTATGGAAGTAGATTGCCCAACCTTCCTTCCAAGGAGTGGCTGGTGGGTTTGAACTGCCAGCCTTCAGGTTACCAGTCATATGCCTTAGGCACTATGCCACCGTGTCCTGTCAGGCCCCTTGAATTAGTGGTCTGATTTTATTTATTTATTTACTTAAAGACAGCAACAAACATTTATTATTCCTCAGTGTGAGGGTCAGGAATCTAGGAATGACTTGACTGTGTGTTTATGGCTCAGGGCCTCTCATGAGATTTCAGTCTAGCTGTTGGTAGGCACTGCAGTTACCTCACGGCTCACCTGTGGCTGGAGAATCCATCTCCAAGGTCATTCACATAGTCTTTGGCAGGTTATCAGTTCTTTGCTGGCTGTTGGGCCAGTAACCTCGAATGTGATGGTTCTCTCCATAGATTGCCTGAGTGTCATAAAAGATAAGTTCCCACAGAGTGAGTGATCCAAAATAGGGCAAGCAAGCAAGAGATTGTCTGAGATGGAAGACCCAGTCTTTTCTAATGTAATCTTGGAAGTGAGATACCATCATGCCTGCTGTATGCTATGAGTCACACAGACCAACCTCAGTATAGTGTGAAGGGGACTGACTGACTATACAAAGCTATGAGTATCAGGAAGCAGGTATCACTGGGGACTGTGGTCAGGGTGGCTGCCACCATGGATATCAAATCTCTTAAGATTTTTCTATTCCGTATATTTCAAATTATTTAAATTTTATTTCAAAATCCATTTATTTCGTGTTGTAAATGCTATCCTGTACAATTACATACATTTCTGATGAATTTTTTTAAAATGTACATAGTTTTGAAAATTTGGAGGGATGAGAGTAAAAGTTGGAGACCGCTGGTTTAGACTAGTTCTGCTGGTCCATTTTATATCTGGTTGTGTCCCTCCGGTAATGTTCCTCTGGCTTATAATTCGAGTCCTGATTTATGAATGGAAAAGACCACTTGAAATCTGACTGTCTCTGAAATTTAGCGTAACTGGAAAGCAATGCTGCTGTTGTTGTGTGGTGTCGAATCACCTGACTCATAGCAACCCTTCCCTGGGTTTCCAAGGCAGTACCACTACGGAAGTAGATTGCCCAACCTTCCCTCTGAGGAATGACTGGTGAGCTTGAACCGCTAGCCTTCTGGTTAGCAGTCATGTGCCTTAGGCATATTGTCGTTAGGTACTGTCAATTCTGACTCATAGCAATAAAGATCAGGAATTTTCACGTAAAGAAATACATGTATATGATGTTCATTAACCGCATCTGTTAAGTGCCTTCTATGTACTAGAGCTGTGAAGACACCAAAATAATATAATCTACAACCTACTAAAGTTATAAAGAGAATATGGTGCTTGGATGCTCCAAGAAGAAATAAGAGCACATTTTCACTGTACCTAATTTGCAGAGAAGAAACTGTTTACTTTTTTATTTAGTATGCTATTATTATAAAACCTACTGCCATCAAGTTGGTTCCAGCTATAGTGACCCTATAGGACAGAACAGAACTGCCCCCACAGGGTTTCTAAGGCTGTAGATTCTTCTAGAAACAGACTGCCTCATTTTTCTCCAGTGGAGCTGCTGGTGGGTTCAAACCACCAACCTTTAGGTCAGCATCTGAATGCTTTAACCACTGCATCACTGAAAGCATTTTATACCTCAGATGAGCAGAACAAGTTGAATGACTTAAGCCCAAAATGCAGACCCAGTAATTACAGATAATAATGGACATTTTAAATGCTTAGCACTTACTGAGGCATACCACAATGATCGTAAATTTAAACCAATAATTTGAGTATTTTATTAGGAACTAGGCTGCGCAGTGCCTAAGGCATTTGACTGCTAACCAGAAGGCTGGAGGTTCAAACCCACCAGCCACTCCTAGGAAGGACGGTTGGGCGATCTACTTCCCTATGATACTGCCTCAGAAACCCAAGGAGGGGTCGCCATGAGTCGGAACCAACCCGACGGCAGTGAGTTGAGTGTTTCTTTTGTTTTTGTTGTTGTTGTTTTGCTAGTCATAGTTAATCACTTAGGGCTAGGATTCTCGTTTCTTGAAATGGTTACATTTTTCTGTACCAGCAGAGTAAATGTGCATTGAAGAAACTCCTCTTGACTTTTCCTCCACAAAGTTTTCTTCATTAAAATGGATGTATGGTGGCCTATTGTTATCCTAGATGGAAGCCCAAAATGTCCAAACCTGAATTGCAAAAAGCCAAGGTAAAACATTTTGCATCTGTGAGAGCTTTGTTGTTGTTGTTATGTGCCGTCGAGTTGGCCCCCACTCATAGTGACCCCTCCTTGGGTTTCCGAGGCAGTATCACTACGGAAGTAGGATTGCCCAACCTTCCTTCCAAGGAGTGGCTGGTGGGTTTGAACCACCAGCCTTCTGGTTAGCAGTCAAGTGCTTTAGCCATTATGCTACCAGAGCTCCTTTAGCTCGTGTAAATTGGCACGCGGCAGGCTTCCGAGGGCTGACTCAGCGCTGGCCCGTCAGCACTTTGTTTGGAGGCCTCGTCGGCTGTTCTAACTGGTACCCGTCCTTCGTCTCCAGCGTCGTTTATTGTTGGGTTCTCCCCCCGCCACCATCCCACGCAGAACACGCCCCGCAGAGAGCAACGGCGGCATCTGGCACCAGGCGCTGCCCCTCTTCTGCCCTGGGGGAGCAGGTAGCTGACCCCGGGGGCACATGTCACAGATCAGCCAATAAAAAGGTTAACAGGAATCCTAACCAGACCTTGGTACCAAGAAGGAAACTGCCAGGCGCACTTCTGAGGGCCTACTTGTAGCTCCCTCTCTTCCTCTTTGCGGTCACCTGGGGACAGAATGGAGGCCAGGCCGGGTCAAGTCAGGACGTCAGGTCAGGATGTCAGGACGTTGTGGAGCCCTATCCAGAAGGGAGGGGTGGGGGTAGAGGGAGCCCAGGGATCTGATTTTCCATGGTTCCCTACACTAGCTTGAACCTCCCCTCCTTGCTGTCTCCATGCCCTAAGACATGACTTTGCGTATTTGCTCTCTGATTGCTCTTAAGTGGGAGGTACACGCCCAGCACCCACCCACACGTACCGTGGCATTCTGGGGGAATGGATAACACCGTTTGCCTGTCTCCCATCTCTCAGAGGCAAGAGACCAGCCCAAGTGCTAAACCTCTTCTGTTCTGGGAACTCCCAATGAAGTTGCCTGGTCTGCCAGCACTGCCTGACCTGGTGGGCAGCTCCCACTGCCACCCGCTTGCGTGCCCACCCAGATGGTGCAAGAAAAACCAGGCTCTGCCCTCAGGCTCTCCTCCCCAACCCCCCACCACAAATGTGCTTTGGGCGTTGTGCTTCCGGCTACTGCCTCTCACTCCCAGGGACGTTCACCCTGCCGCCTGCTCCACGTCGGGTAGTTCACAGGATGCCAAGCTCTAGGTTTGAGAACACCACCAGCGCAGGGAGTCCAGAGGGGTCCTGGAGAAGTGGTGCCACGAGCCCCGACTTCTCTGAACCTATAGCTCCTGGCACAAGCATTGAGACAGGCATTCCCTTCGCTTAGTTACTGTTGACCTCACTTTACTCCTCTACCCTTTTCAAAACAAGGAGTTGAGAAAGTCAGGCTCCCGGCCACCTCACCCCATTCCCTGCTGTTCCCCAGAATGTGCTGGCCCTCGTGGATGAGCCGGGTCTAGGCTTTGGCAGGACAGGCCACTGGGAGTCCATGTGCTGCTCACCCTGGAGACAGCCCAACCTAGGGTCCATCAGCCTAACCCCTTCTCTTACTATGCCAGGACCCTGGCCACCCTATTGCTGTCGAGTCAACTCATAGTGACCCTGTAGGACAGAGTAGCTCTGCCCCATAGGATTGCCAAGGCAGTAATTTTTATGAGAGAAAATGGCCACATCTTCTTTCCATGGTGCGGCTGGTGGATTCAAACCCCTGACCTGTTGGTAAGCGGCTGAGCACTTAACCACTGTGCCATTAGGGATTCTTGAG